TAGAATCAGGGACGATTCTGATTCTATATCATTGATCGTTGTAACATGCTAAATTATGAGAATACTTTTTGGGAACGATTGACGTTTTTGGTCAATGATTCTTTTCATGCTCGCACGTAGGGAATGTCCGACAGTAGGCATCAAGAAAGAAGAGGCTCATTGCCGAAGAGGCCCCCACTTAATTGTGGCTCAAGAGGGCAACTATGGACTCAATGAGTTATTTGCAAATTCAACAGCATGGTTGAATTTTTGCGAATAGCTCGTTGGTCATTTGATATTTTGATGGTTTTATTATTTTGCTCGTCAATAATTTATAGTGGTTTTTTAAGAATGGAAGTAATTTATATAGTTTTCTTTCTGTTATAGGTGAACATCGTTGGAATTACCACCACCAACTCTACCAGAGATTTTTATTGCCAAAAATAAATCGAGTATTTGATAAATTTGATTTTATTAGAGTACAATCCCATTTAGAATCCCCCCTCACTTTAATATCATATCATTTTTTCATTTCCAATTACCCCACACCTTTCTTCATTCTTCATTTTATTCATAGAAACTAATTATTTTATAGTATTTTTTAATATATCTTTTTTTTCTAGGTATTAGGAACATAATTTTCATTTTAATTTGTTTCAGGATATGATTAATTCTAATGCACTTGTAAGTGCATCGGATTTTTCATCAGGAACTTGCCCTTCGATGCATTCATTGCATCTTTTCAGACCTCTAAAATAATCTTTTCTTTTTTTTTCAGGCTCGTTTTGAGTTTCTTTTTTCAGGCTCGTTTTGAGTTTCTTTTTTCAGGCTCGTTTTGAGTTTCTTTTTTCAGGCTCGTTTTGAGTTTCTTTTTTCAGGCTCGTTTTAAGTTTCTTTTTTCAGGCTCGTTTTAAGTTTCTTTTTTCAGGCTCGNGTGTAGGTTTCTCCTAAATTTAGAGTCAGTGGACTAGTCCAATCGGGGGGAAGCCACTTTTAAAAAAAAATCGTGAAAAGTTCCGCTTTAAAAGTTATACCCATCCCCCCTTTTCTCCTATCCTTTTTATTTTTAAACTCTTTTTTATCCCTTTGTTTTCTGTTACAGATTGGACTATGGTAAGGAAACGACCACAGGTGGACCAAAGGAGGACCATAAAGGAACAAGAAGTGGACTTGGTAATGTAGGATAGTATGAAATAATTATTTGTATAAATAAAATGAAAATTTATATCTTTATATAATTCTCTTTGTAGCATCTCACATGTGTGATCATTATTTTTAATGTATTTTCTTTATTTATAGGTTCCATGGAACAACTCATAATTGTATACTCTTTTTAATTATTATACTTTATTTTATGTAGATTGAAAATTATGTATATAAATGTATATAAATTGTATTTCTATAAGTTGAAGTTATTCTAGGGTGTGTTAGTTTTAAGTAACATCGATGATTCTATTGAATTTCTTTTCAGATTACACTCCTTGTTTATCTCATTCTGTATTTTTTAGTATTGAAATTTTTCTCTGGTATTTTCGATAATAATTTTAACGATTTTTCCGATGGTACTCTTATGGTGGGGCCTAAGAGTTATGTTCATTCCTTTGAATAATATTCGGATGTGAGCATCTTTAGGATGCCCATCCCTCTTGGGTCTTCAGAAGCGGTTACCTCCTCGTGGTTAGACCTGGGCAATGGATATTACTTTCCGTGTAATGTTTATCATATTTTTATATGCTCTACATTCCATTGCAAGTAAAATCCAGCCAAAGACCGCTTACCATAAACATTATAATTGTAATTAGTTTCTTTTTATTTTCCAATGAACATATTTTTATTCCTTTCCTTGGCTCCTTCTATCCATTTCATCTTCAGAAACTAATTACACTTATAATGTATTTTAATAACTTTTATATTCTTACAGACATTACACCGAATTAACAAGAAATCTTTTATTGTATAATACTTATTTTATTTTATTTCAGAATAGAATTATTTTTTTTTTTATAATGCATATTTTATTTTTTAATGCAGGTTTCTATATTATCTCACAATATGTCGATTTCAATCAAGTCTGCAATTGAAAAGGAATATCATACCTTTCTAAAGATAAATTTGTTACAGAGAACAACGACTCAGTCTATAAGTGAATTTCGAAGAGGAAAGTATTCTAGAAATATATTTCATACTTTTCATTATACGAGAGTTTTTTCATATTTTACATTTTTCTTTTTAGCTTTCTAAGCATGGGGAGAATTGCAACACGAATTCACTAACCTTTTAATCTTGTGGCAACTTTTATTATCTTCTCCATATATGTCGAGGTGAGCACTATTTCTTTTAAGTATAAGCTTATAAGCATATAGAAATACTACAGAAAGAGTGAGAGAGAAGGAGTGAGAGAGAGAGAGAGAGAGAGAAGAAAAATAAGAAAACAATACACTCGACATATAGGTTATTATAAATGTGTATTTTTATTTCCAGAAGTTTCTCGAGCCGAAGACAAAACGTAAACAGCCGATTAACATAGGTATAATAGCCGAACGTTCGACACTACCGAGATCTCCTTTACCAAGGTTACATAGCAACGTATCTCGTATTCGTCTTCTATCCTTCGACGAGACAACATAAACGAAAAAGAGACGTATTAAATTATTTAATAATTTTATTTCTAACGTTATCGTTTTGATTTTAATAGTTTAAAAAGCTTTTCATTGCATAGTATGGTATAAAATCTGGTTTATTTTTTATGTTACTCTTTATTGAATTTGCTAATACAATTATTGTTTGTATTTAGAAAGATTTAAAGATTTTTAATTAATATTTTTATTAACATTACATACTTGGTATGTAATTTAACAAGCAAATAGTTGCATACTTTGATAAATTTCACAAATATTTAATAACTTTAACTTTTAATTATGTCAATTCTTATTGATTATTAAATTATTTCTTTCTATTTATACCATTGAATATTTTATCAAAAATATATAATATATAATATATTTCATTGCAACATTAAAAATTAATATATATTTAAAAAAATATAACATTTCTTTTTTATACGTAAATATATATATATATATAATACGTCGGATTATTATGAAAGATTTAAAAACAAATCGTTAATACATTTTTCATCGCTGTTTGATCTTAAGCGCATTGTTACTGCGATTATGAGATATAGACAGTTATTAGGATGACGAGATGTTTATCTTTGTTTTAACAAAATTCCAGTCACGTACGATGAAAGGTCGTCACGAGATGCAGAAAGGAGATGGCCGACGGAACGTCGAGCAAGCGCGAGAGAAAGAAAGAAGGGAATAAAATTCTTTTACAACGAAGATCACATAGCGAGGACAAACCAGCATACCAAAGACAGACCAAGTCCAGATGCTGTCTCTTGCACTAAATGTGGCTGGCTTGGAGAGTACTTTGGTATATCCTGTCTCGGGGAAATGGTTCGAAATGAAACAGGAAGTGGAGACAGATCCTGTGCGAAGTCATACTTTGGAATCCCAGGGGTTAAAACGTTCTACATTACATGCCTGTATATCGTCACTGTTGACTTCTTCTTACACTGCTACTTTACTTGTTTGAAGAAGAGACTTTATTTTACACATGAATCTTCTATATGTGAGTTCATTCATGATCTTATCATTTATTTTTATCAATTCATATGATTCGTTAGAAGCTAAAATGAAGAAATTAATTCCTTTTTATTGTTTTTCCTTTTTTTTTTCAGAATATATATTTTGAATATATTGCTCGTATACACATTCTATTGTAATCGATTGAATTGAAATTCTTTTTACAATTCAAGTACAATAATAATAAGGTATTTATCATAAATAAACTATAATAAAGATTTTTCATTATTTTTAAATACAAATATTTTTTAATTTATAAGTATATCCATTTTAATGGTATAATATTTCTTGTTTCAAAAAAAAATAAGATGAATGCATCCAAGATATTATCTCTCTAGATTCAAGCACGTAGACGATTTAGAAACTGGTTGCTCCCTCGTTATACTCGGAGTTGCATCGGTCAGCCTATGAAAGGAATGGTGGTCACTTAAGAAGAAGTAGGGTTGATTGTCCAGGTAAGAATCATGTATATATATATATATACATACATATATATGATACTAGCTGGAGAACCCGTCGAGAAACTACTTCAACTTCCAAGTTTTCTATCTCTTTTTTTCTCTCTCTCTCTCTCTCTCTCTCTCTCTCTCTTTCTTTTGCCCCTATCCCCACCCCTTTCTCTTTTCACCGACAGAGATTTCCTCTCCTACAATCTCTCCCCTCCACCCCACCGACCTGGGTTACTACCATCTCCCTTTTTCTCTCTTTCTTTTATTCTTTTTACTCTTTCTCTCTCTCTCTTTCTTTCGTATACGCTCTTGCCTCGTCTCTTCTAGTCTCTATCTTCGTCTCTCTCTTTCTCTCTCTCTCTCTCTCTCTCACTCACTCACTCACTCTAGACTCTCGCGGTTATGTCGTGGGCGGAAATTAGTATAACTCGTCGGACTAGTCGCGTTGCGACCGCGCGTTAGTACGCACGTACTTCGAAATAAACGACGAGAAAATATACGACGAGATAAGAAGAAAAATATCATCACACATCTTTATATTTGAAAAAGAAATTTCCTTTTGCCCCTTTTTTTTTCTCCCCCTACTTCCTTTCCTTATCGTCTTATCTATTTATCTATTGGACCAGCGGTAATCGTGTGTGACGCTATAAGAACGAATTAATTTTCTTTTCTTTTTGTTTTTTTTGTTTATTTGTGTGCACGAATTATTACAACCTGATATATCAACATTAAATTAATTATCAAGAAAAAACTTATAACGGGTTATTCCTTAGTGATACGTGAATTTGTATTTTTCGTTTTTTTTAGACTTTACATTCAATTTCGGTGTGTTCAATTGGTGCCGTGATAAAACAAGAAAATTATAAGGAATAAAGTAAAGAACATTTGTTAAACTTTTTCAACGATGAATGCAAGGATTACATCATGACAGATCAACAGAAACAACTTAAGGCAGCGTAAGTATTTTTAACAATTGATCATTAATTGATCAAAAAAAAATATACTATACATTTGTATTAGAATTTTCATCAAACTTATTATAAGATTACAGTTAGATTTAATGTAATTTATAAGTCATCAATATTTTTGTACTTTATTGTTATCATCGTTACCACATGTAAAAGGATGTTAACATTATAACCGATACCTTTTTAATCATGTTTTAATAGAACTCTAGAAAACTATATATAATTTATAACGAATAATTTAATAGTTCATTAGTTGGCAGAGTTTATGTGTAAAAACTTGTGTGTCGAATATCTTCTATTATTAAATTTTAGAATGTATATTAGTAATATAAACATCTCTTTTTTTTTTTTTTTTATCAATGATTACGAAAAGGTTTACTGTTTATATGATGGCAGAGAGACAAGCGACGACAACGTGCGTTTATGAATTATGCAAGTAGTACACGTGTTTGCTCTTCCGTATACTATACGCCGTATATTTCACCGAATTCACACAACACTCATGGAATTATTTTGCGGATCCTCATACAATATGGACTCGAGCAAACTGTACAATGAATAGTATTGTGCAACGATGCAACTCGAATGAATTTTTCATTAGAATGTTATAATTCGATGTAATCTTATTGATTCATTAGCGATTATTTAATATTCTTTATTCTTCTAAGTTCTCATTTGTTAGATTTTTTAAATAATTGATATTTATTTGAATAATTTTTATTAAAAAAAAACAAAAAAGTATTGTAAATAGTATGTAGTATTTGAGAGAACAACATTTAGTGCATTATAGTATTAAAGTATATTAAAGTAATTTAATATAATTAAACTGTTAAAGTATTTAGGTATAAATGACTTTTATAATATACTACATTATTATAGAATAATTAACTAAATAATTAAAGTGCATTATAGTATCATATATAAAATACAGTGTACAAGTAAATTCATATATTTAAAATATAGTATTAAAAGTACTATTATAGTAATAAAATAATTCAAATAAATATCGACTATTCTACGATATTTCGACGAAGTAAGATTTGCATTAGATTGTAAAATGGATTTGAATAATTTTAATATCACAAATGTTTTTTCGAACTATAGATATAAAAGGATTTTGTTAAGTGACCGATCAGCAAAATAAAGTATCGAAAGAAAATTCAAAATAGACATCTCAAGCGTGAGATTGCACAGGCATTATTTTCAAAACGAATGCCAACGAAATGAACTCCTAGTCTGTGTTTATCGCGTTAAATTCAAATTCCTCGATCGTATCCTACGTGGTGGTTTAACGTGCACGAAACACGTGGCTATGGCTCGAGCTAACGTAGAGTTATTTTTTTGTCGATGTTTATTGAAGGCTCGTTTGAAAATAAACAATGCCAGACACTGTAGAAAAGCAAGATGAAAAATTCTTTCCAATCTCTTTTGCATCGTCGTGTCAATAAAAAGCAAACTGAGTGTGCCCACTCCTTCCGAATCTCATTCATCGAGTTTCATCTTTAATGGATGTTCAATATTTCTTCACTCTCTTTTGCTTTCAAAATTAATGAACAATCAGATACATTGAATTTTTATCGCATACATATATATTTTTGATATTTAATATTGAATGGAATTCGAAGTATGAATCTTGTCAATAGAGGACAACACACATACATACATACGCAAGTATTTAACGGTTTCTCTTATCGATGATATTAAGCATGCGTGTCGTGCGATCTGCGATAGAATAATACAGATTATATTAACGGGGGGAAAAAAAAAAAGAAATAAAGAAGGAGAAGAAAAGAAAAGAAAAGAAAATAAATTTCTTCGCCAAGGTTCGCAATGTTTACATCGTTTTCGTGTAAAAAGAGATATTACGTCGTTCGTAACGAAGATTGTTGTTAGTCGGAGCATGACTTTAACACAAGAACCTTCGATAATCCATAAATAAAATAAACAGAGAGATTGAAATACACATCACGAAGAGACGAATTCGGCGGAGGTATTGCATTTGCATCGTCGACTCTCACGAGCGAGCGAATCGAAGCGTTGCATTTTGATTGTGCTTCGGCTGTCCGCACACGCGCATTGAGTTTTTGTTCGCGAGACAGCGAACTAGCCAGCGAATACTTATTGTAAGCATAGAACAACGACGACGATGACAACGACGACGACAATGATCGACTATATATATACATATATATTATATGTATTTATGTGTGTGTTATATGAATATATATATATATATGTATGTGCGCCCTCAAGAAATATGACACGTGTGCACAGGCAATTTTAAGTAGGCGAAGAGAAACTACTTTACAATGAGTACCATACATGGCGAAGTAACATTGTATTTTCTTCAGCTACTTTCGTTTCTATTTCATATTTGCTTTCGTGACTGCACAAACCGGATAACAACTTACGACGAGAAGGAATAGATCGTTCTAGCATATCCTAGCAAATCTAATGCTTCCTTATTTTTTGTATATAACGTTACATTTTAAAATTGAAAATTAAATTACGTACAAACCTTTTTTTTTTATATATAATTCGATGTATAAACATGTACAAATGATTGTAACGAGTCGATACAAATTGTTATTGTTTTAATTTTGTTTCTTTTTTTTTTTCTTCTTCTTCTTTTTTAAATTTCGATAAATCCCTTTGTAATTTGTTCAAAGCGAGAAGCAAATTTTGAGAGAAGGTTTTTTTTACAATAGGTACGAATGCATTTGTAAAGTAAGTACTTGTAATGTACGCGCATTAAAGCACAGACTCGTGTATCAGCGATGACGTAGATGGATTGCGATTCAACTGCGGATGTAATTACATCGGGAACGAGCCGGAAGTGGAAACGGTCCGAACGCTTTTGCCGCTTAAAGAGAGCCTTTATACGGAAGAGTTACGTCGATCGGTTGCGATCGACGTTTGGCTTTCAACATTCTCTCACTCTTTCTCTCTTTCTCTCTTTCTCTTTCTTTTTTTGCTATCTCAATGGGGTTAAAAACTCCCTGTGGAGATTGGATGATGTGCAGTTTATAATTCACAAATCAAACACATAAGATCTGCTATTCGTCTCTCATCTCTCATGAATATATCTCAATGCATCTGTGTATATGTATATATCTGTTGAATTTTATTTTAAGAACAAAATATCTTCAATTTGCAATAACTTTTATTGATTTTCTTTTTCTTTTTCTTTTTCTTTTTCTTTTTCTATACATATATCGGAGAAATTTCATTTTGATCGTAGAACAAAGTCAATTCGTAGAAGTTGTATTTGTGCTTTACGTGCGAACACGAACGTGACTTCAATACTTTGGAAAGTACTACTCGAAGTCTTCCAAGACAAGGTACGATAAGAATACTTCAGCGTTCCCACTTTACACGTCGCCATGAATCTTTAAAATTCTTAGAGAACGGCGATTTCTCTGAACTATGCAACGATTCAAACATTGTTGAAGTTTCTACGAGAAAAAAAAAAGGTAAAAAGGGAAAAAAAGGAGAAAGATAGAAAGATAGAAAGAGACAAGCTTATTTATTTGCATGAAACGTTTGAAATACGCGAAAAGAGCTCGTGCTAACGTAATCTTTACATCGAGGCATGTACCGGCTACTTGCATCGATTAATTTGAATAATGGCAAACCATTTGCTTTAAGTTTATGTTCACATATGTAATCTGACCACGCATGCATAAAATTCGAAAACGAGAAACAAAGGGACAAGCAAAAGTACTTTATAATGCATCGATTTCAAATGGTACATGTATGCTTACGTGTCTCTGCCTATGCATAAATCATTTTTTATTCATAAGAATATAACAATAAGTTATTAAAAGAAGAGTCTGAGCAAGGACTATGTAATGTAATTCGATGCTAGTGTATTCGTTGATTAACCACATGTGTAGTAATCAATGATTACAAGTGGCACGATCATATAACGCCAAACTGGGTACGCCGTCTGCCAACAATAGCGATTCATTACGCATTATAATGACAACAACGGTTTTATAATCGTTGTATGGGATGATAGATCCTTGTCACGTGGTATAGGTCAAAGGAATAAACGAATTTCAATGTATTAATCATCATTTTAACACAAACATTCAATTGACGTGTGATATGCTACTTGTTTTATTTCAACAAAAAAATAATATATTGTAATGCATTTTCAGGTGATGCCAAAGGAATCTTGTTGGGGGTTACTGCTAACCCTAGTGCCGTTATTCGTCGGTGTCTGTGATCTCGCCGGCGCAATATCCGGTTCTCAGTATCCGGTGTGTAAGCCAGGTCTAGAATTCTGGTCCACCGAACGTGCATCTTGCTGGCCCTGTACGAGATGCGCTCCCGAATTCACATTGAGCCCTTGCGCAGTGCATAAAGACGCAATTTGTGGACCACTCTCAGCTTTGGAGCTTGACTGGTCTTTTCTTTCAACGAGAAAAAGGCCTGAGAACGGACAGAGACGTCTGGAAGCGGTAACATCAAAGATGCTTTGGCGATTTCCGGAATTAGATCAACAACAACAACAACAACAACAGCAGCAACAACAACAGTCACAGGAGGAACGACAGCAAGAGAAGTTAAAACAGGAAACGAGGAGTCTCGTCGATGCTACTTATGACGACGAAATAAACGTGGGACACGTTGACGAGTTCTCTTCTCAAGAACAAAAAGTAAAGAATGAAGAATCGTAACTGCGCGTATATAGACTTTTAAAGTTTCTCTTTTTTAGTTTCGATAACTGTCGGTTAGTATAATATACGAGAGTTTTATAGGCATAGATTTTACAGACATATGTTTTATTTTCACAGAGGCCATATGACCCTAGAGAAAGGAGAAAATCTAACATCCACGAAGGAACTCTTTTGTGGGATTGGCAGACCGCCGCCCTTGTACTAGCGGTATGTGCCTGTGTGGTCTTCTTTTTGGTAGCGGGTTGTTCGGCCTTGGTTTATGCGAGACAGTGGCGAAGGATGAAAAAAAATTTTGAACCAGGTATATATGTATATATAAATGTATCGTTCATCATATTCTTACTAACTCATATTTTTCCAAATAAATGCAACATTTAAAATCGTCTTGCCTCGAAGGATAAACGAAGATTCACGGCTTCTTCTTCTTCTTCCTCTCTTATCGCCATTGGAAATCGACATCAAGCATGTTGGTCATTAAACGTTATCCTTCCTACTCTCTAAAGAAGGACCGACATCTTATGCGGCAAGGCTAAAGGGCTCGCCTTTGAGCCCTGGGGAAGTACGCGTAAAACATATACTCCGCGAGTCCTTTAAAATGCAAGACAAGATTTTCTTCATTAGAGGGCTGATCACGGCCTCTCCTCACCTTGGCTCGACCTACCGCGCCCGGATATGACGTCTCCACGTCCAACGCGCTCAACGTACCATCGCCCACGCTGTCACTATCGTGTACACCGTTCCGCGTTTACTATATCTACTTATAACCAGGGCCGTATTTAGTACGATCGAATGATGATCGAATTATCAATTTATATATTTATTTCATGATCGACATTATCATTTTTTCTTTTCTTTTTATTATTAATACAATAGTTAAACGACAATCATTGAATTTCTAAACTTTCTCTTACGAATACTGAATAGATAATTTTGATTTAATTATCTTGTCTAGTTTCTTTCAATTTATCTAAGATTAACTTTGATATAATAATTTGTAATTTTTTTTAATAATTATAAATTATAATGTATATAAAGTTAATCAAAGGTAATTCTATATATAGAATGTTGATGTTAAAGTCTTCTTATCTGATTGAGTAATATTTCAAATTGATGTTAAAAGTGAGATTGTATGCAAAATAATACTCTTAAAAAACATTTATCCTTTAAAGTCGTTACTACATAGAATAAAAAAGAAAGAAAAAAAGAATACAAAGAGAAGTAAGTGTAAGTCGCGTAACGTTCTTATGATCTATGGTGCACGTGTGTACGAGGAGGTTACTATATGCATTTGCATAACGAGCATTACGCAGAACTCTTTCTCGCCGGAACACCTTCCTCCCCACTATTGAAGTCGTGTATCGTACCACGTATCGCGTGCACGTTTGTGGGAACCGATTCAAGCACGATTCGTTAATGAAGTTCGCATGAATGGAGCTTCGTTACCGGCGTCCTTTCTACTATCAAACGTGTAGAACTTAAAATCGGTGACACGTAAACTATTATAAACGTGATAATATAAAATATGGCGTATGAATTAGAATATCATGTCTCTATAATGATCTTTCTCTCTATATAAATATAATTAATACAAATAATTAGATAGAATTGTATCCGATTGAAAATTATATTTGAAATGTGATCATGAAATGAATTGAAACTAACACGCAATAATTATGTGACATTTTAATAGGATATAGAAATTGATTCTTCCTAGCGGATTCGATCATAGGTAATAAGTATTCGTTTAGTAATCGGTACCGTTTCATTACGTTTAATAGTCGGCCCACCCGGAGTTACTGATTCTGATTAGATACAATATGGAGAGGACTTATAAAAGACGTCCCGCTTAAGTCTCGACCTATTAGAAGTAACCAGCTGTCCAAAATGGGTCTTGAGAAAGCTAAGTCACGCATTCCATGGCCATTCATGCCACATTCCACCTTGACTAAACTCGATGCAATCGAAGATTATATATCTGAGCAATTCTTTCTACGATTTCAAAAGCATTCCTTATAAAAAACATACATTTTGCAATACCTAATCATTCTTTCTTCATTATTATTATTATTATTATTAAGTTATTATATGAATTATGAATTATTTTTATTTTTCAGTCGGTCTCGAAGAAATCTCTGCCCGATTAAATGTTATGGTGAAGGCAGAATTGGCTGAACTCGTTGCAGGTGCACCGATGAGTCCAGGTGATCCAGAAACTAGATGTCAGTACCTTGAGAAATTATTAGGTAAGCGTTTAAACACATTATACAAGTTGCATAATATTTGTTTAATCCAATTAAGCTATCCATCGGTGAAATTTTATCTCTAGAAAATTAGAAACACCGAATACAATAAATGATTTGTCTTAATTATTGTAATATTAATTGATTTTAATATTATTTGTGTATACACTTATTGGTATTTTATTTTCTTATTTTATTTTCGATAAAAATAACAAGTAAAATATATCATGGATAGAAAATTTCACTGGTGATAGCTATTTATTTATTTTTTCTTATCTTAATGATAAATTCAAAATCTCGTAGAAAAATAGTAGACTTTTCTAAGATATATATATATGTATACATGTACACGAGTAGAAATATTACATGGTACATATATATATCATTCATGTTTATTCGTTCACTAAGTGCACATTACATTAATCTAAAGCCCCATTTTGATTCTGACCCTCAGTGTAGATATAGTTGCGTACGCATTCGCGACGAACGTTTTGCGAAGAATGATCGAGCTGAGTATACCAGAGATAAATGGATGGAATAAGGGTAGGGATGGGATAGGGTAGAGTAGAATAAAATAGAGTAAAGTAGAGTAGAGTAGAGTAGAGTAGGGAAGTGGGAGGGTAAGGGATTTCAAAGAGGGCGTAAATAACAAATTCATTTGATTCTAACCGTGGTTGAATGTGCTGCTTCACGCCACGTATACGTCACGTACGTTGTGAGTGAGAACATGTAAAGAACTTTATCCTCGATAATGATCCTTGACTAGGACCGACCACCACCTTTTACGAATTTCATTCAATCGATCGTTTCCTGTAACTTGATCCTACCAACTGAATAAAATTCATTGCTTGAATTAAATATATATTCAAAATTATTAATATTACATTATAGTTTTATTACAGTGAATGAAATCTTCCAAAGTTAACAGATTAATTGAAGAACACTTTGCATGTAAATCATCTGATTTATTAATTGAAAATATTTAGAGTATGTCAAAATAAAACTGATATAAAACAATGATTTTATTAATTGTTACAAGAACAAATTAATTGAAGATAATATATCAGAATGAAATTGTAAGTTGTCATCAATAGAAACAAATCAAATTGAAAATACAAATACTTATTGAAGTAGTAGAGGACAATAAACGAAAATCTGATGATTATACGATCTAGCAGGACGCGATGTTTGACTTAAAAGCTTACGTTACTGGTATATTTCAGGAAATAGTCGGGGTTGTTTGTAAGTACTAGTAAAATAGACGAGACAAGACGATGGGGCAACATTGTGGCTAGGTGCCATGGCCTTTGGTAATTTCTCTCTTATGTATTTACTTGGCCTTTAGAAGGGATAACTCATACAGCTTCTTACTTAATTATTTATCACGTGATAAAAACAAAATGACGTGATTGTTCCCCTAACGTTTTATCTGCTTTCATTCATTCTCAACCGGGATTTCGTAGTTCTAACTTTAGAATCTTCATCGTTAAGAGAGAACATGCGTCAGTTTGCATTTTCGAGATTGACGCGCGTGATGCTGAAAATCAAGCCTAGCGTCCAATTTTAGGCTCAACATTAGACGATATATCACACATATGTTCATGTACACATATATACATACATACTTTTCGTACATATATCTCTCTATACATATGTATAAGTGCATGTACATTGATTCGATCGTTCGAGAACTACGAATACGTTTAACGAATTTGATTAGAAATAAAAGAGAAACACACAGGAAGTATAATATCGTTAGATAAATATCAATTGAGTGAGAATTAAAAATAACGAAAGAGGGTGGTGGGAGAGGAAAAAGAGAGTTCTTATATATATATATATATATATATATATATGTATGTACGAAACGTGTGTATCTATATACATACATAAATTAATTCGATCAATGTCAATAATCAAATCGTTCGATAAATTCTATCACGTTTATCGAATCAATTTGAAATAAAAGAGTTTTAACAGGAAGTATATATCGTTAGATAAATATCGATTGAGAAAGAAAGAGGTAGATAAAGATAAAGATAGATAGATAAAGGGAAAAGGAAAGAGAGAGAGAGAGAGAGAGAGATAAAGAAAGCCCTTGAACAACGTAGGTGAATTGGGGAAGTACTCGGTTTGGTTGATTGGTCGGTCGATCGCACTTGTTTCCTCTTGCTTACAGACCGGAAACGCGAAACTCCGGTGGTGGCTGGTTGGCCGGAAGTGGGTGGGAACCTCTACATCGAGGAAGGGGAGACACCGAGAAGTAAACGTTCACAAATCGCGCGGATTCATCGAAACATCGAAACGATTCTCAGCCACAAGACGAACGTCATTGACTGATCTAACTAAATGCAAAAGAAAGAAAGAGTAAAAAGAAACCGAGAGAAAGAGAGAGAGAGAGAGAGAGAGAGAGAGAGAGAGAGAATAATAATAATAATAAAAAAAAAAAATCTTCAAAGGAATTATTCTCTCGCATCTCACCGGATGCTGGAAGAACGATGATGTTGTATGGAAGATTCTTGTTACGGTGCATATAATATTTAGTACACAATTATAGAAAGGTATTATATATATATATATATCGTTCTTCTTACCCTCCTTCTCCTCTTTCCCCTCATCATCTGTCCTCTTCTCGATCGATAACACGAGAATATATTTTCTAAAGAATTATTTGTAAGATTTAATTCTTCTTTATTGCCATTTTGTAAAAGTAAAAAAAAACGACGCTTGTTGTTGGTCTGTTAAGATTACGAATGTGTGTGATGTGTATTACGTGTATTATTATCCACCTTTTTATTTCTATACCTGGTTCCTGATAATTTAATTGTAAGAAAATTATCGATGAAAATTTCATAATATTATATCCTTCCTTCTTTATTGTATTATTATTATTATTAATATTATTATTAATGGTCCCCGATACTCGAGTAAAATTCGAGCAACGAGAGAGACCATTAAAACGCTCTTATCTCAATCCACAAATTTATTTATTTTTTTTTCTTTCTTTCTTTCTTTTTCATTAGCTTTAACACATAAGGAATTTAAAAAATAATAATAATAATAATAATAATAATAAGGAAAAGAAAGAGAAATAAAATATACAAAAACAAAAAAAAACAAAGTGGACATTTTGTAATATAACATACGAGCCTTTGTATTCATACAAGTTTCAAAAAATTATTAAAAAAAAAAAAAAAACAAATAAAATTTATAAAATGTTTAGAGGTAATCCTTGTTCAATATTATAACACTACTCTCTCTCTTTTTTCTAATCCTTTTATTTGTCCACAAGTTGTACGATTGTTATAGAAGAAGTAATTAAATTTATTCTAAGACATTATTTGATTCTTTTTTTTTTTTTTTTTTAAATATTTCATTTGTTTCATCTTTAAATCTTAACATTAAAGGAACAATATTAGGGATATTGGAGAATTGAAAAATACGTGTCTGATGTGAGAGAGTCTTTCGATATCTATTACTTATATATACATGTAAGAATTATGTATTTAAATTGTACCCATTACACCGTAGTAACATCAACAATATATTTGTTTGTTTTTTTTTTTCCCATTTTTTTTTTCTTTTTTATAGAATTAAATATATTTATAATTTTTATTCATATAAATTAAGAGGGACAGAGGGCGGGCGGGCTGCACCTAAGGCTTTGTTTTTTTTCTTTTCTTTTTTTTTTTTTTATTCGAAATTGTGTTCATCATATTTTCGTATACTTCTAAATACCTTTACTTCTATCTTCTAGGTTTAAGACTAATTTCTTTGTAAACGTGATCACAGTTGTAAAGGCATTGCTATTCTAAGCACGTGTGGTAAATGCGGGCACGCTTCTGGTCCATATATAGATATATATATACATATAATATATAATATATATATATATACATATATCTTTCTCTAAATATGGGATTGGATAAAAATCTTTTTTTTTTTTTTTTTTCTTTTCTTTTTATAATTCTACAAACCGATATCTGAATCAGTTTCCATATTTTTCTTTTTTCTTATTTTCTTTTACTTCATGACACAAATCAATCATCAAATTGAAGAAAGATAATCATTTAAATCAGGCACTTATTTTCACAATACCATAAAAAAATTCACGACGAACTAATATGATGAACACACAGTGTTGTTGTAAAGGTATCTAAAAAAATTTATACGTTAATGATGCTTCAATAAAGATTGACAGTGCTATTAACAAATACAATAAACACTTGCATATTATTATACAGGTTCTTTATCAAGATACGATATTTTTAAATAATTATATTTAAACTGTTCCAACCTCTTTTAGATATTATTTAATACCAAAATCATCGATGTATGTAATAATGTAACAGATTAAATATAATCATTTAAAAGTCTTTTATATATATATATCTCTCTTTTTAAAGATCCAGTATATAAAATATATAGAATTTCTTCATAGATTTGTTGTTTGATTTTGAAATAAAAATGATTGATCAATAATTTGTCATTAACTTTGAAGATTCTTTATATATACTAATTATTAATTTACGAAGATAATCCCATTGAATTTCTAAAGAAACAAACAAAATCAAAACAAAAAAAAGCACCGTTAACGCTGATCATATTAGTTTACAATAATATACTCTACTTTATCTCTTGGAATGCAAAGCAATAATAAATTACTTATATGCTAATAAATAATATTGATCATATTAAATACTATGCTGAGATATACAGAACAATTATTAAATAACTACAACCATTTACAGCAGTGTCTTGTGTGTGTATCTATCTTTCATTCTCTCTTTCTTTCTCTCTCTCTCTCTCTCTCTATCTCTATCTCTCTATCTCTTTCTCTCCAAATGTGTATATATAATCGTGTATATTATCCGTGTGTCTCTATTCTTTTCCTTATATAAATATATATATATATATATATTTTTTTGTTTTTTTTATTTATCTGTGCATAATATTAATTATTATGCGCTTGCCATGTAACGCAGTAATCACTATTTCGATTTTCTCTTTTCATATCGAATTTGTCTCTTAATAATTTGTTTTTTGTTTTGCTTTTTTTCTTTTCTTTTCTTTTCTTTTCTTTTCTCTGTACAAATATTTATATATAAAATAATCTTCGAAGTAAAGGCAAAGCAGAGAATATGACCCTGTTGTGTTGTAAGTAGTACGGCATATATATATATGTACCGTAAAATAACACACATCTGTAAAACTCTGTTCTTATTTGTCCTCCTTTTTTGTCCTTTTTTAATTTCATGTCAAGGTCAAATCCCCATACCTGCCTTTTATATAGTACATGCCTGGTGGCTTGTGCCCTGTACATGTGTTATCCTCATTTAATCGGTTGTACCGATAATATAACATTCCTACCTAAAACAGGTGAATCAGCAATACGCATCAACTTGCTAATGAAATTTTTAGCTAGTCAAGTATATTTTGTCCACCTGTTAAAACCCACATATCACCATGAATTAGTAGGATAAACGGCAAATGCTTTTAACTAACCCGATGTTATTGTTGTGTTTATTCTGATGCGTTAAATATGAATGTGTGCAAGAAAGTGCAAGAAAAGGCAAAGTTTAATATATATATTAAATACATACATATGTATATATGTATATGTTTTATTTTCTGTTATTATTAATATATTAAATTCATATGTGAGTTATATTTAAAGATAATTCGATTAAGAAGTTAATTCAAAAAATACATCGTGTCTGTTTGAAAGCATTTAAGCCGCATTAATAACTAAATAAGATAATCTAATAGAAATGTTCTTCATTTTTCTTGGTAATCTATCTATGTTAACTCTGTTCATTTTTTTTTTTTTTTTTTAACAGTCTAAGACTGTTCTAATGTGTTTAATCTGTAAAATATATCGGATGAGTCAGCTAACATTGAAATTGAATTTAATATGTCGCTTAATTTCTCTAAAGAAATACGTTTCATTGAAAATGGATTCCAATATACAGCAATTACAAAATAATATCAATTCAGATTGACAAGCAAATTACAATTTGATCATTTTTAGATAAATGTTATCTACTTAAATTGTATTAATCTTTTCGACTTTAAACATATTTTCAAAATATTCGCAGGTTTAGTTTTAGATGTCTCATCCAATATACATATATATATCTAATTGTAAGTTAATACTACTTATAGAGCTTGGAATAATTCTGTAAAGCTCTATGGACGGATCGTTCGCATGATGACAATATGATGGACGAGTAAAAGTCGGCAAATTTGAAAAAAGGCACAAATCCTCCCATTACGCGCAGAATTTTTTAAAGGGGGAAGGCAGCACATGGCTATTACCAAAATTCACAATTTAAAATAACTACGTATTGGGATAAATATATGTATATATATGTGTGTGTGTGTATTTTCTTGTTAAAAGTACTTCGTTGGGGATCGAGTTTTTATATTTGAGTGTGTGAAAATATAAATATATCTATATATATATTAAATATATAATCTCTCTTTCTTTCTCTCTCTCTCTCTCTATATATATATATATGCATATATTTATATTTTCGTGGCACATGCTCTTCTCATATATGGGAATATTATTTTACATATAATTTTACGTACCCTTTTTGGATAAGTTGGTTTTAAATAAAGAGTGAAAAATGATATGCCATTGCATATTTTTTGTTCGCTGCTACTGATGACTTTTGCTCAATAAATGCGAATTAAATTGGTACAAGTTACAGCACTGCTCACCACATATGTTGCACTTCCATGGATTGCTCTCACTGTGACAACCCTTATGAAGAAAGTACAATGTCTGATCTGGAAAAGTAATTCTACAGTGCATACACTGTAAACCACTGCTTCGTGGATCGGGTCTCGTCGATGTTGGGGGTTCACCCCTCGAATGTAAATTGGAATTTGAACCATTATTGTTATTAGTGTTATTATTGTTACTGCAACTTGTTGAAAGTTTACGACATAGATCATCTCGCAATAATGTCTTCAATGGTGAAACCTTGATTAACGATGGCAATGACAGATTACTGGATGTTGCTCCACTATCTTCCATACCATTGCTATTTGGCTCTTGTTTAATAGGAATTAAAGAGATTGAAGGTGTGATAGCTTCTTCTCCGCCACCCACACTCCTTGTAATATAAGATTATTTTATTCATATTTTTTAATATGAACAAACAAGTTAAGTGTGTCTCATGAAATATTTTTAAATAATAGTATACTTACCTATGAATGCCACTACTGTTAATGGGTAATTGATGATGACTACTGCTTGGAGCGTTACTATTGCTATCAGCACTTTGTGGACTATTTGGACTATCACCATTTAGTGGAGCAGGACTTGAATTTCGTTGGTTGGTAGTTTGTTCCGGGTAAGGAATGGATATTTCAACGTGAGGAGTAAGAAAGTGCATTGGAGGAGTTGCATTGTCCGCTGATCTATTGCCAGTACTGTCACCACTGTCGGATAGGGGAGCAGATGGCATGGCTTCCCCAGGTGTGCAACTATTTAATATTGAAGTTGAACTGTTTGGTCCTGGATTATCTAAATCTATTCCATGTCTAAACACAAACACGAATATATCTGAATGAAGGTATTCTTTGGATTATAATTATATTTGCACACAAATATAGTAAAAAAAAAAAACAAACAAACAAACGTATTATTTACGATAACTAATATACCTGTTAAAAAAGTGCAACCTAAGACATTTCATTGTAGTCGCTCGATAACTACACAATGGACATGATTTGACCATATCCTGTTGTCCTACATGTTCATTTTGGAAATGTGCCCTCATGGCAATTTGTCTTTGGAAACCTCTATTACATATTGGACAATGATATGGTAAAGTTTTAGAATGAGTGGTAAAATGTTCTGCAAGATGATCTTTGCGAAAAAATCTTTTCTGACATACACGACACTCATATGGTTTTACACCTGTATGCCTCATCTAGAAATGAAAATAATATAAAAAAACGAACAACAAATGAATACAATAAATACATGTAAGATCATCACTATTTTGTCTTTTGTACAACTATCATTATGTATAGTTTTATACCTTGTGTCTTCTCATATTAGCCCCATTAGAAAATTTCATGTTGCAAACATCGCACTCAAATATTTTTCTATGGGTTCGCAAGCCTGAATGACCCTCGTCTCCATCTCCATCATTTTCAGGTCCATCAATACCCTCTGTGCTTTCTCCTGGTTCACCGTTTCCAATGCATTGATCTTGATGAGCACAAAATGCTGTCTTATTTATAGTTTCATAATTGTCACACCTATCACATCTGTAAAAGCGTCAAAGTAATGTATAAAAAATAAAAAAAAAACATATTATGTTATAGATCAATGTACTGCGACTTCATGTTAATAAATATATTCTTTTTATTTTAATTAGCATCTAAAGGATTTGAAAACTAATCAAACCTAAATGCTGGAACGGCTCCATCGCTACTATCATAATTAGTATTAAGAGCAGCTTCGTTGTCTGGATCCAGTGCTTCTTCTTCTCTGTGATTAGAAGAATCACCAGCCTCTGCATGCGAAGAGGAATGAGAGTCTACCTCGTTTTCCCCGCCGCCACCATCGACTCCATCTGACATGATACCAAACGGTGGAACTATCTTGAATCCTTCATCTAACCTGCACCATTAAGAGTGTCTTTGTAACAATTACCATTGGAATTTTTATTACAATATAAGATATGTGGCATCTTATATATTACGATTAAATATGACAACACGTCATTAACTAAAAATGACAAATATTTATATATATCATTTAATGATATAATTTTACTATTTTAGAAAGGACAAACTTGAAGAGAAACGCCCATGAGATATTTATCATTTATCGATGTTTCGATCTAACATGAATTTCGTCTTTACCAGTATTAAATAAAATATATATATATATATATATATACCACACGTACATATACTTACATATATATAGATATAGATATATACATACATACGTATACTCGTATAGTAGGACACGTATCCTTTTTGAATTCAGATCGAAGAGATATAAGAAAATATATTGTAAAGGAGAGAGAGTAAAATACACGTAGGTATTTAAAACGTAGAATACAACCGAATCACATAGTAGACACGACGATAGTACACGTATTATTACAGGTCGAATTTCACGCATACAATTAACTCGTCCAAAAGAGACAATGACGAATGTAAACCTTTACCTGTCAGTCTATGGTACCTAGTTGTGTGTCAAGTCTCTCGTATCGGAGATTGAGCAGGTATTCGAGAGCAAGGTGCAACGGTATGAGTATTACCCAATCCTGAGAAGATTACGGCATAGAAACACCTGGTGGGTAAAGCGCAATGCCAGAGTGCACTGCACTTTGTCCCAGTTTTGACCGAATCCGTCACTCGTGACGTAGTTTTCGCGGCTTTTCCGCGGAAAGACAGCGCCGTTGAAAGCGATAGAGAGAGAGAGAGAGAGAGAGAGAGAGAGAGAGAGAGAGAGAGAGAAAAGGGAGAGATAATGATAGAGATAGAGACGAAGAGAGAGAGAGAGAGTGTGCAAAAGACCTAGAGAATGATTGGAGAAGGAGAAAAAGCAAGAGAGAGATAGACAGATAAAAAGAGAAACAGAAAGAGAGAGAGAGAGAGAGAGAGAGAGAGAGAAAAGAAAAGAGGTCGGGACACGCGTCTTATTTACTTACTCACATTCCTCAAAGGTGGGTTGACAAGACCTGTTTCAACCCACGGAATTTTTCTTTTCTGTTTCACGACACCACGCTCATCCTCCACAATGTTTATTTCTTTTATTTGTATTTTTCCTCCTTCTTTTAACGACAGACAGGCGAGTGAAACGTAACGGAAGTATACCGAGTCTCCATATCCTCGCTTACCGACATCTGTGAGCATTGCTACCAATCCATTTCTGATAACTACTTCATATATTCAGGTATCTTCTCTATCTCTTTCTTTTGATCTTCTATCGATTTCCCTGCTCGTTAAATCGACGATCAAATGCATTTTAATCGTTTGAAAATAAATTAGAAAAATCAATTAAAAACAATGATTGAATTCATTCGAATGTACCGCCATTCGTTCTTCGGCTGTTTTCGTATATTTTCGCGCGAAATCTTTCTTTTAAATGGCACGAACATAACCTAGCTCTTCTCGTTTCTATATTTCTCGACCAATCAAAGGTTGGTAATGCGTATAATCAATTTTAACTTCACGTCGTTGTCGTCGTTGTCGTCGTCGTTCTGTCGTGTCGTCAAACGTCACGCGCAATCTCAACTTTTTCGTTAATTATATTATTTGTATAAGTTTCATTTGGATTTAATAATAACGAAAGAAGAAAGGTTAATAGGATCATTTCAAATAAGCGCGTGACATATCGCGGTATGATCGAAATCGAGCGAATCGAGAGTATGAGATTCGAATCGAATGACGCCAAATCGATCCACCGTGTTAAAGAAAGTGGCGAAGATCTCAAATCGGTACGTGCTTTTTTATTATTATTTTAAAAATAAAAATATATTTCTCAATAATTTCATTAAGTGTCAGAATTATGAAGTATGAAAATATATAACATTATTAATTTTTTTTTTGTTTTTTTTTTATTAAATTTGGCTTGTTTAATTGTACGCATACATATAGTACATTTATCGCGCGTTCTAAACTTCAATTTTATTTCAGGAACACCATCGTCGATAACAACGATAGTTCATCTTAATAAAGATAAAACGCTTTTTTCTATGGGCCTATGATCGATGATAAAAAAGGACAAGAAATACATTATTTTTCTTTACAATCGGATACATAAATGTTTCGTTGGAGAAACATACAATAAAAAGGATCATAAAGTTTCATTCATCATTAAGGACATCGAATTTTCATGAAAAGGTAACTTCACGAGATTCATTCGAGATTCAAAAATCGAGATAAGTAATCGATTATCGTATAATCGAATATTAAAAACAATAGGTATTCGTTTATCTTAACAGCGACGCGTAGCGTCAATATCAGAAAACACAAAACACACTTCTCCCATATGTTTTTAATCGGTCATTCGAATAATAATAAATCTACATATATATCGCCAGACATTTTTGCAAATAAAATCATCAAATCAACTGTATAAATAAAGATAAAATTCACGCGCTAGTATTTCAACATTATTATTTACTTTTTGTCTTTCTTTCTTTTTGACATATTATCAAAAATATAACGTTCTTTTTCAGTTATTCATAAGATAATATTCATTGAATATTATTTCTAATTATAATTAGTGATTATTTATATTTTTACGTAATGAATAGCATGATCAAAGGTTATAAAAAAATAAGATATGCTTTCGATTGAGAAATGTGTATATATATATATATATATATATGTATACATACATAAACAAGTTTATTAGAATGATCTTACGTTAGAATGGAAAATGAGTGTAGTTATAGAGTGGGAGAGGGACAGAGATAGAATAAGATAGAAAGAGAAAGAAAGAGAAAAAGAGACAGAGACAATGTGAAGGCAGAATACGTTATGGTGGCGTAGCCATTGGGCGTTGCTCTTTAGTACCTGTTGACCGTTCGCACAATATTTGCTTATTCACGTTAATATTTATATTTAAATTAAATTAACTAATAATATAATAGATACGTTTAATCATCGATCCAAATGAAAATCATGAAACGACACGGTAAGATTAATCTGTCATTTTTGATTCTACAGATAAGATTGATTGATAATGATCATTTGTTATTGTTGTTTTTTTTTTTAAATAACTCTTACTTAGATTATAGATTTATTTAATATCTTTATGCACGTTAGATTAAATACAAACTCTGTCAGATTTAATTGCATTTTATTTTTTCATATGAAATTAATGGGAAATTTGATTTGATATTGTTGATAATGTTGATTAATTACAAGTGAAAGTAGTTTCATTTTGTTAAATCAATGATAATTTGGAGGATGAAGAAAATGATTTCTTGAATGTTTGTTTATTTTTATTTTTAGTTTCTTTGGTCTCACTCGGTAAATATTAGGAATGTGCATCGTTGAAATAAAATCCCTATGACTCATTCCTTTGACAGTCGCGTGCAATGTGTCAATTAGAAACTGATCTGTTTTTAATGTTCTTATCACATTGTTGACCGGTCAAGAATTTATTCTTGTTTGCATAATGCATCCATAATGCATGAAAATTATGTAATTATGAAATAATTATCAAATCTTTTATTAACTTTTGTTTATCACCCTTTTAGTAGTAACACGCTTACCACACCCGGGTCCAAAGGACCTTTAATACTTATATTATACTTTAATACTTATTTAAAAACACTATATAGGTTTTATAGCATTAAATTAAATTTAAATATGTTTAAAAAAATTACCAAAATTGAACAATTGAGATAAATGACTCAAGTTGCAAAAAAGGTCGTCTGGGTCCTTTGGACCAAGTGTGATAAGCAAAAGTTAAGTCGTTATTGTAATATTGTTTGAGATTTATTTTTATATTAATGGACTTGAAATATTTCAAATAACAATTTATATTTTGTAATTATTAAATGATCATCTTTATTTCTTTTTTGGATTTAACAACCGATCAACAATGTGTTATCAAAAAAAAAAAAAAGAATTGAATAACAAAACAATGAAATAATCATTTGTTTAATAAGATTGTTATCATTTGCATTAATATTATTTTGTTATTTTTCAGTGATAAGTAATGGGAAAAAGTGAGGAGAGAAACGACACTACGGTGCAGGTGAACGAATCGAATTTCTTAACGAAAAATTCGAGTGAAGCTAGTAAAATGTTGGAGGCTGCACTATTACAAATGGATGGAATAATATCTGGTAATAATCTTTTAAAATTATACATAAGATATTATCTAATTTTCCTTTTTTTTCTTAATAATTTTACAAGAATAACATAGAGTTAATCAACGAATTTCTAATTTTTCAAATGAACATTATTTTTAATTCTATTTATTGAATTGTAGGAGCGTGTGCAGAAGGCGTCGTCGAAGGGAACAACACAGAATGGAAGGATTCCGTGAAAGAAGCAACAAGAAATCTCGTAGCAGCGATAAAAAGTGCACCTACACCACCTCCCCCGCCGGATGCAAGCACCATTGAAATTTTCATGCAGTGGATGCAGCCGGTAAGAAGAAGTCATCGTTATCATCTCAATGTTTACTTTCAGCAGCAGCAGCAATAGTAGTAGTAGTAGTAGTAGTAATAACAGCAATAATAACATTAGTAGTAGCTGACACGTTCTGATGTGATTGCAAATTCAAAAAGGAAAAGTTCAGTACCTTAAACAATAGAAGGGAAAACGATGATACATGTCTCTTTCTCTCTTCTTATATATTATTCTCTTTTTTACGTTATCGTTGTTATTATTAATGGCCCATTTCCGGATATACTTATCTTTCGCAATCAGCGCAGATGTCAATGAAAACACGTGGTGCGCATATCCGGACTGATTTCCGGCACGCGCACGTCTCTTTCTACGCACGTGTTACATGTGCTGTGTTTATCCCAGTCAAATGCTTCTCACGTATGTTAGTCTACATCCGGATGTTCTTAGTAGAAGAGACATGCTACTAACGATCTATGATGATACGTGTTTTGTTTATTTTGTAAACAAGAACGTCATATGTAGACATTTTTTTTTTATATATATATATAACTAGGGATGCCTCGCCACACTTTGCTGTGGCTCACAATTAGTCCGATACACACGTCTTTAAGTCATAATTCGCAATAAAATAATATTGCGATTATAAATTGAGATATAAACAATCCTATCTTTCAAGTTGGATGAAACTGCACACAGTGTGGAAAATTTTATTCAAATCAGTTCAGTAGTTTAGGAGTTCATTGTGGACAAACAACGTGACACGTAATTTATATATTATAATAATTTAATATTTTTATCAAAGGCTGTGATTCAGGTTCATCCTTTCATTGATTAATTTTATACCAAGAGAAATACGTATCTTTCAGGTGCATCCATTCAAAAAAACCATAAAGAGTATAGTTCTTAATCGAACCCCTTCATACAGATATCGTTGATTGATAATATACATGTGTTATCCCTCACATTGTTCACCACTTATATATGTATTTATCTTCATCCTTGATCTCTCATCATTATTGAGAAGAAGGGGCAGCGATCCCGACTAATAAAGAGGGAGAATACACTTGCTCTATTTATAAGTTACAATCTCTCTTTCTTTCTTTCTCTTACTCTTCTTCTTCTTCTTCGTCTTCTTCTTCTTCGTTTTCGTCTTCGTCTTCTTCCTCCTCACCACGATAAATTTTGTGATGTTAAATTTAGTTTCGATGTAGACGAAGTTGAGCTTAGCATATGAGACTGAGTTTCATCTATATTCAATGTGCCGAATAATTTGAAAATTTTCAACCGATATAAAATACTTTCGTCAAAAGTTCTAGACCAGTTATTTTATTCGTTATTTCATTCTTTGTTTGTTTTTTTTTTTTTCATACTCTAAAAAGTTTCTAAATACTTGTAGAGAAGTTTCTTTTTTTCAATATTATTTTCTCGTGTTTTATGTGACATACATTTATGCATGATTATTCAGTTCAAGAGTTTAGATTATACGTTTCAATAATGTGGTGCAATCATGATATTTCAAAAGAAGATGTTATTTTTCTAAAAAATGGATAATACGTGGAATAATTATTCTAAAGAATTTAAGAATTTAATTGCTACCATGGAAGAAGATAATAAACTACATAGAAAAGGTCTTTAATTTATGTATTTTTCACAAGTATTATATTTATTCTTATTTCGTTTTTTTCTTTTATATGATTTAGTTAAATAATTATAAATAGTCATTAATTTCTTTACGATGATACGAATGATACAAAAATAAAATCTTTATCAGTTAAGTAGAAACACTTGGTACTAAATATAGATTAACTGATTTTATAAGAGAAATTTGAAGAGTAAGCCATTCAGTAGTCTTATCTTATGTTAGTAATAGTAAAAACAGTCGTTCGAATTTAATTTAGATTCACAGTCGGATTCGTCAGATGCTGCTTCAACTATAAAACACTGGGATAGTCAATGGACACCTTCAGAAGGATATGATTCTTCTGAAACGTCTAATTCAGGTTGTGGTGAGGATTATACTGAAGATTATCAACACAGAATAGCAATTGATCCTTCTAGATTTGTTGAAGATTGTCATAGTGGTTGTAGGTCTCAAACTTGTCTTTGTCAGGTATTATTTGGAAGAATATATTTTATGATATTGTTGTGTTCGTATCTGATATCAACATTTCATTTTCACAAATTAACGTGTACTTGTAATATCACACTTCAGGGTTGTCTATTCGAATACAATAGGATGATAAATCTTCAAGGGAGTGTGTCCAATATTTGTGGAACACCAATAACTAAAACTAATCCAAATCATTTATCAACGATTCCATCATTGTATAGTACACCATGTCCAAGGTTTATGCGTTTGTTAATTTTTTGACAATATATAAAATAGTAGAACATGCAAAACTAATTTCGTAATGATCTATTTATGTAAATTAGTATCCAGAGTGAGCTGCCACGTCATTATAACAAGGATCATCTTCCTTTAAATTGCAATTGTCATGCAATGTATCCTTGTCATATGCAACAAATTTCATTGCCTTTGAAGGAATGTCATTTACATTCCAGTGACAAAACAAATAGCACTACTTCTCTTTCTGGAAATTCAGTAGGTCGTTCTGGTGCTGGTTCATTGGATAGAAGAAGACGAAGATTTAAAAGTAAAACTGATCATAATCAGAGGACTAAATCCCATAGTGATTTAATATGCTGCCCTAAAGATAGACCACATTACTGTTCTTTACAGCAATTTCAATGTGGCAATAATCCACACATGTATAACTACTATAATAAAACTGAGGTATATGAAATGCACTAAAGAATTCATAATTAATAACAAATTGTTGTTTCATTTCAAAAATGAAGAGTATCAAATTATTTCTAAAATTTTAATGTGTTTGTTTTCTATTCATAGGAACGTCTTCAAAAATTAGAAAATGAACGTGGTGCACTTCACATGGAGGTATCAGTTCTATCAGAGCAAGTCGATGCACAATCTAGCAAAATTCAAGAATTGGAAAATATGCTTAAAGAAAAAAAGCATTCTCTCAGACAAATGGAAGAAGCTTTGCAAGAGGTTAAATATTATATTTTATTTAATTTTAATTTACATGTGGAATTTAGTAATGCAACTTTAATGTTTTATTATTATTATTATTATTATTATTTTAAAGGAAGTGTTATCAAGAAGTGCATTGGAGACAGAAAAACTCGAGCTTCTTAGTTCTCTTTCCGAACTGAAACTCAAACAGGCTAGCTTAGAATATGAAAATTTAACATTAAGAAAAACAAGTTCATCATTATCCAATGTAAGTATTGTAATTAAAGATTATTTATTTATATATTTGTCTTAAGTATAAATTTACAGTTAATTTTTTTTTTTTTTTTTTTATATATAGGGGGAGAGATTCAGTAGACATGCCGGTCAATATAGCAGTCTTCCAAGGCCACCAACATCTTCAAAGAAAGGAGTAGCGTTTGGTAAGGTTTCCAATTTAATCTCTGGGGAGCACACAACAGTACCATTGGCTGTTAGAGGAATTTCTGCGAGATGTCTATCAGCTCCTATTCTAGGTTCTTAAATGAATCTTTACTTAAGCATGCTTATGTCATGTTTGCTTGTTTCTAAAAACCCAAATTTGTTTAATAACCACATGTTGAACATAGGAGAACTCAATTATTAAAATATAAGCCCAATAGTAATATATTTCAATGTTAAAATGATAATGCCATAAACCAAGATGGTACTTTAAAATATAATATTAAAATGAAATAAATATATATTTCTGTTATTTTGTTTTATTTGTATTCAGCGGAAGAAGAAAAAACGGTAATTGGAGAGTCAAGTTTTCAACCAGAATCAACACCAACAAAGCCCCTTGCAGAATTGTCTATACAAGAAGTTGGTGATTGGTTATCCCGTATTGGTCTGGAATGTTATACAGCAGAATTAAAACGATGGGGTGCTACCGGTGTAAAATTAGTTGATGCAACACCAAATCAAATTGAAAAGGAACTTGATATCAAAAATGTATTACACAGAAAGAAATTATTATATGCAATTGAATCTGAGAGATCTAATGCAGAGGGTTTTCTTGGTTCGGAGAAGGTTGTGTAAATAATGTTTTGATTAATTACTTTTCATGTATTTGATGTATTTTTCATAAATATTGTTGATTTTCATTGTAGATGGACAGTGCTGCGGTATTACGATGGTTAGATGATATTGGATTACCCCAACATAAAGAAGCTTTTCATAATGCCAAAGTTGATGGTAGAGTATTACATAGATTAACAACAGAAGACTTATTGAATCTCGGAGTGACAGCTCAGTTACATGCAGCTAGTTTACGACGAGGAATTCAGGTAATATTAAGTTTAATAACAAAAGTGATAATAAATTAACATTGTATTTTGTGTGCAATATAATTATAGATTTTGAGGGAATTGAATTTTGAATTTGATAATTTGGAGAGAAGAGCAGCAAGTGGGAACGGTGCAGATGGAAGTAACGTTACATTATGGACTAATCACAGAGTAATGGATTGGTTAAGAGTAGTTGACCTAGCAGAATATGCACCCAATATGAGAGGCTCAGGAGTGCATGGTGGATTAATGATCCATGAAGGTCGTTTCACATCAGAGTTGTTAGCAACCATATTAAGCATTCCACCTTCAAAAACTTTATTAAGAAGGCATCTGACAACTCACTTTAATCAAATTCTTGGTAGAGAAGTTGTGCAGCATAAAAGAGAGATGGAAAGTACACTTGGATTCGTACCTCTAACTCTTACGGCTAGATTGAAGGTTGATATATATCAATTATAGTATTAAAAAAGGCAAATTATATTATATGGGAAACATATATTATTATTATTATTATTATGGTATTATTACAGGCACCAAAGAAGTCTCAGTTCACGTTGAAACGTAAAAAGAGTAAAAACGAAGTGGATTATGGAAATCTGGTTTGTCCTTTGGAAACATCACCACCAGGTACACCATCAACATCTTCGTCAACACCGGGCAGTCCTAATTTGAACTCACCTTCATTCTAACCACATTCACAGATTCATTCAAGCAGTCATCTTAACTAACTCGTAAGTCTAACTCGACTAATATTTCAATATCGCATTGCTTCTTATGATTCAATTTATAAAGGTGCAGGTATTATGTTGTTTTTCTTATTTATAGGAACAAACAAGTTGTATAATTGATTATTGGGCATAGTTGTCTTTATCAAATTCCTTATTTCTTTCAAAGTAATCTATTACTATTCTTTTCTGTTTTACTATTTACTAAATATTTCGCTTGTATTTTATTTTGACTATTTTTAACACATTGCCAGCCGGCAACCTAAGAAACATTTAAAGACTAAGCACCAGCAACGTATCGGCCACTTAAACCCCAAACGCCCCAGCCTTATTCGCTTGTTTCTCTGATCACTGAATAGTCAAAACAATGGCAAGTAAATACAAATCGATGTGTAAGACACTCATATACCAGCAAAAAACAAAAATCCACATCATCGTGGGGCAGCTTACTCAAACGACACAGTCTCAGAAATACGCGTTTTCGTGGGGCCGGAATTCTGTCAATGTGTTAATATTACCCTTTTTAGGTTTGCTTATTAATTTCTGCATATAATTCATCTCATCATATCTACATGATTTAAATTAAAAAAATGATTTCTACATTTCTAAAAATTGATGATTATTTTCAGATCTAGAGGATACTGGACAAAAGAAAGTAATTGGTTGTATATGAGGAGAAAATTAACGTAACATTTATTTTCTACAATGAATATTATATTATAGGCAATTATTTCATTTTTATACCAAAAAAAAAAAAAAAAGAAAATTTGTGCTTTTATTAAAATTTGACTTACAGACAATTTATTAGCAAAGAGAATGGTGATATAAAAAAAACAAAAAACATAAAATAATGTAAATCACGGATAAACAAACGGGGACCATTTTTTTTTTGTTTTTAACGAAACGAACGTATATTAACAATTTTTCTAATCAAAATAAAATAACAGGACAGTATAATAGGTGCCTTGCTATGTATAACGTGTTTAGATTATGTCATGTATTTTTCAATACAGATTTGTAATAACCTTATCAAAATATTAATAATAATAATAATAATTGTTCAATAATAAATGATTGACGCGCTACAAAATTTCTATTTTCATATATATATATATATATATACAGTAAAATAATTCGTGCATATTATATATACATACGTAGACTTGATTAATTTGTTATTAGAAATAATTATAATTATATAATATAATTAATTTAATTGTTAGTATAGATTTTTTTTTTCGATACTTTTGTATTATAAATAATACATGTATATCGAAAAAATATTTTACTAAAAAAGAAGAAAAAAAACAACAACAACAACAACGAAACATAATTAACCAGTTAAGCGTGTTTGACGACTATATCCGACATCGCTTGATTATCGCGACACACACCAGAGAGCGCACTCTGCGCACAGATCATCGCCACACTTAACTGGTTAATCAAAAATGCTTTACTGCTGCTGCTGTTGCTGCTGCTATATCTGTAATCTTTAAAATGACATATTTATTTTGTGTCTTCTTTGGTTTTTCTTTTTTTTTTTTTTGTTATGTTTACATATAATACGTGATGATCAAAGTAAATACACAAATAATATAAAAAAAAAAAAAGATGTATCGAGAGTACAATTACTCATTTTAGTTTGTATGTTTTTCACAGGTGATTTATTTTACACTTGGAGATCATGGTAGAGAGAGGATAAAATATTAAATACGATTTATATTAGTAAATACAGTAAATTAGTATAAGGTGGTGATATCAATCGAAGGTGAACTATCACAGATGATATTTAAAATCAATTTATTAGGCGTTGTCCGTATCTTTGAGCTCCTCTCTTAATGTAACATTAATGAGACCTTGATATTTTACAGGATAAGCTAATAGATTTCCCTTGTTCCATGTATACAGCTCCTGTAAATAATTTTCTTATTTATCTAAGACAAACAAGAATTTTATATAATTGAAATATATCATGTCTATTCATTAATTTCAATATTACAAACCTTCGTTTTGTGATTATAGCTGACAGCTGTAGTTTTATGATATGGATTGGAGAATGACAAATGTACATCAACTGTTGAATTTTTGTACAAATCTAAGGCTAATCTAAAGAAAATAATTATTTATTTAGTAGACAATTAAAATATCAGGTCTTTTTTTATTCTGCGTGCATAAGGATTGTTTTATCTATTCTATGTAAATATATTTATTCGTGAAATGTTTACCGAATTTTCATAGTTTCATCGGTTACGCTATGAACTGCGTATAAAATTCCACCAGCAATAAACATCTCTCCAAATTTATGGTGATCAATACTGATGTTCCATGCATATTGAAGACTGAGATCAGTAGCGCCCACTTTCATCACGATCGTATTATTTGATGGTAATCCATAAATTACCCATAAACCTATAAAATACAATTTACAGATAATTTTCATAATATATATTGAATATTCTAATTACTAGCACATAATACTGTATTATAATTTAATATTATACTAATATAAATAGTATAATATTAAACCAAACTATATTTTACAAAATACTATAATATAACAATAATAATAATAATAAAAACAATAAGGAATATATATTTTATAATAATAAATTTTATAACACACTTATATCTATATAACTTCTATTATATTTTTCTAATAAAAAAATATATTAAAAATAATATAAAAATAAATCACAACGCCTATATTCATAAATGTGAATTGCATATATGAAAATGAAAGTATAAAAAAAAAAAAAAAACAGATTTCTTTTAAAAATATCCATCAATGGTACATTATTAAAAATACCAATAGAGATCAAAGGGTGAAAGTATAAACATCATATATGTATAATAGAAAACTCGTTGATATTTATGGCATACGCATATTACTACTACTTGCTTTCATACACGTGTGTTTCATAACGCGTTATTAGCTGATCTCTATCGGCTTTAGAATATGTGCCGTCTGACCACACAATCCCCGTCCTTTATGTACCCATGGACCGCAAATGCATGTGCGATGCATACCATCTTCGAGGCATAGTAAATCGTGGCTTACCAGACAGATATGTAGACAGACAGACATACATACATACGTACATACATAAATACATACACACAAACAGACAGACATATGGCTTTTATCATGTACACACATACATCTTTGAAAAACCCATAAGAATTCTTAAGAAAATCTGTAGACACATATTTAACATTAGATTTATAGACTGAGAGATAATTAAATTCATTTAAAATTTCATTATTATATATATATATATAGTAATGTACAGTAATATACTGTATACTGTATAGTAATATAATATTCTATATACATATATATAAAACCTCACTAACTTTTTGGAATAAACCTTTAAATAAAACCTTTTTAAATCTAGTGTTAATGAATAAATTGTTATAAACTATTATTTAAATCAGCATACCATTTTCGTCAACGTTGAAGTCCACGTAATTATAATTATGATTAGGCGTGTAAAGATAATTATTAGTGTTAACGTATAAACCAGGTAATTTTAATTCGCATTTGGAAAAAAATATATCACATCCTTGACCATGATAAAGATCGAATCGAAAGATCGATGATCGATTTTTTGGATTGTAAAAAAATGATCCATTATATATTATATGTCCATTTCCCTGTAACACGAGGAAGAAAATATTGATGATTTATTAATAATTATAAATATAGAACGAATATTTATTATTATAATCATTTATGTACAAACCTGAAATGGATATGGTAATTCGATTTTTTGTGGTGTCTTTGATTTAAAATGTTCTTTAGATTTATATTCCAATATATATGATGTTTCATTTTTTCTTGTAACCCAATATTTATCTGAAATACCATCGGACCTTGGAGATGGATCATGCATCCAACTACCATAATGATCGTCCATAGTTCCCTTTAATACTGGTTTACCTACTGCTTCTATTACACCATCTATACGTTTACGGATATATATATTATATATATAGTAACTAATAATATTAATATATTATATTATAGTATATATATTAAGTATTTATATATATTTTAAGTAATATACTAGTATATATTATATTATATTATTCTACTATATTATAGTATATATTATTTAGTTACTATAATAAATAATTTATATTATATATATATATATAGTAACGGATATATGTATAATACGGATATTATATTATATTATATATATAAAAGTTATTTATATTGGATCAGATAAATATGACGATGAAAAACCACTTACCCACTAATCTTGACGGCAATCCTGTGAAATTGACGTTCCGTAATGGTTGAACATTTACGTAACCATCGATATCAGTGTAAAGACATTTCATGGGATGACATGTAGGACATGCTTCTTGGTGCGGACATAATTCTTCCAAGTCGATATTTTGTGGCATTGGTTCACCATAAACAACATTTTGTTGCTTACCAAATCTAAATCTATCCATGTGTTTCATATCATCTAAATAATATGAACAATATAAACAATTTGTTATATGTTGTTAATATACATAAATAAATGGAATAAATTAATAATGACAAATGTTATAGGTATTGGACACGAACCATCGATTATCAGAGAACCTTTTGTAACATCAATTTCATTTCTTACAACACAATGATAGATACCATGATCATTCGGCATAACTCGAGATATCTTTAAACGCATTTTAAACTGTAAATCAATATTGACAATCCTATCAATTGTTGATTTATTTTTATATATAATATTATATTGATTTTATTATTTATCATATACTACCTTGAAATCTTTTTTATCCGAAATTTCCGTACGATATTTATCGGGTGTTTTCAAACGACGACCATCCCCACGTTCCCAATGTACCGTTGGTTCTGGAAATGCTTCAACTTCGCATTCTAAAATTGCTGAACTTTGACCTCGTACGAGTATCATTTGATTTCGTATACGAATAAAGGGTGTAACTATAAATAAAGTGAATGGTTTTTTATTTTTCTTCTTTTTTTTTTTTTTATTCTAAGAAATCAAATAATCAGAGATTTAAATTTGATTGAAGTTTAGATTATATGTTTGACTATTATATTCCCTAGTCTGACGACTGTATAAATTCTTTACTACTTAAACAAAAGATTGACTGTAAATTCATGCTAATAAAATTCCATGTAAATATAGTTAATGTAATCGATAAAAAAAAAAAAAAAAATAAAATAAAATAATTGTTTGTTAGACAGATTAGACGAACGACAATCCTATTACATATTCTGAGATGATAGAGAAGACAAATAGAATCGATAGGATAGTGTATACAGATTATAATAACATATTTGAATTCAGAACACGTGCACGTTTATGGGAAATGTGTTCGTCATATGCAGGATATATAAGCAGGGTGTATACATATGCATGAAATCGATAACATAGTACGTATGTGTGTATTCATAAATATGAATTATTCAATTCATTAATTTATATTTCAATAGAGAATATAATCAAACATTTAGATTTATATTATTTCATATTAATTTCTTAATATAAAATATATACATATATATATTATATTAAGTTCAAATAATAATAATAATAATAATAATAATAATAATAATAATAATAATAATAATAATAATAATAATAATAATAATATATAATATAATAAATATTGTATTAATAATAATATATTATTATATAATAAATAATGTATATATTATCTTTTATATAATTACATAATATATATATATTATAATTATATTAACTTAATATAATATATATATATATATATATACTATACATATACAGTATTTATATATACAGTATATAATCCAGTAAATAAATATATATTTTAAATATATATTTAAATAATATATATATATATATATATATATATATAAATTTAATACAATACTTTAGAGATATTAATAATAACTGCATTATCATTCGTTTGATAAAGAAAATAAATATCAATATAATGATTAAAATAGAATAAAAATAATATACTTACATCTAATTTGAAGTTTAAAATTTTTTAATGCTCGTGGTGGTATTCCATTGTCTGCAGTGCACGTATATTCACCCATGTGTTCCCTATTCACTACGCTTATATTAAACGTGCTGCCAATTACGGAAGTTACTGTATAACACGAGTTATGCTATTATTTCATTGCTACAAATAACTTATTTTATTTAGACTACAAAGTACATACAGTAGAAGTATATATATATATAGATATATACTAGTACTTGATGCTCTTACCATGCCAAGATCCTAGATGTATTAAGGTACCATCTTTCTTAGTCCATTGAACAACAGGTGGTGGACTTCCACTCGTTGCACATCTCAATCTTACATTGCTTCCTTCTCTTAATGTAATCACTTCAGTTACATTATCTATTGCAGAATGATTTCTTTTATAAAGTTACATGCCAAAAAAATATGAAAGTAGAACAAATATATATATATATATATATATATATATATATATATATATATATATAGAAATACCTTTTTTCATTATAAATGAAAACTTAAGAGATTTTACCTAAAATAGATGGTGGTATTAATAAATCATTAACATTGTCATCATTTGTAGTAAATTTCCAAGTATTTATTCCAGGCTTTCCATCTTTTCCAGGTATTCCTGGCTTTCCTGGTGGACCAATATCTCCTACAATTTATAAATGATACGTTATGTTTCTTTTTTCTTCATCATCTACTACACATTTAATTGAATCTTTTCAAATTAATTGAAGAGTATTATACTTCAACTGAATAAGATGAGATGATATTAAATGAGATCTCTTATTTCTTTTTTTTTTTTTTTTCTTCTTTTTTTAGATACCTACGTTCATCAAGAACAGACACTTGAAGAAATTAATAATAATATTGAAGAGAGATTATAATCGTGCTTAAACGAATTTTGAAGATACACTTTTATACAATGACCTATTCAACGCGTAACTTACCGCGCGGTCCCGGTGGCCCTTGAGGACCTGGTTGACCTGGTCTACCTAAAAAAAAAAAGGGGTTCACAAAGTTAAACGAGATGTTATTAGGTTGGTGCAAATTATTAATAATAATAGGAAAGAATATATTTTGTGAAATAGCATGAATACATCACACTTTGATAGAAGTTAAAGTTTATTTTCAAGTTTAGTTTAATTAAACAAATTCCGTACCATCTGTTCCATTTCTTCCAGGATATCCTGGTATACCATCCTCTCCTGGTTTACCATTCAATCCAGGCAATCCATCGAGACCACTACGTCCAGGTATACCATCCAAACCTGGTTCACCTGGTATACCATCCCTTCCATCTATACCAGGTGGTCCTATTTCACCTTTTGGTCCTCTGATACCAGGAAACCCTGCTTCTCCTGGAGGTCCTTCTGGTCCAGGTGTTCCCGGTACGCCAGGTAAACCAGGTAAACCAGATTGGCCAGGATTTCCTGGTGAGCCAGGTAGACCCGGTGGACAATATTTTGTCGAGGAACGACAAAAGTTTTCTATTGCATCAAACTGTAATCATATTTGACAAGGATTTGTGTCGATTTACGATTTGATCTTTCTCAGTTTTAGAAAAGAATACAATGAAAATAGAAGAAGAAAAAGAAATCAAATGATATAAGGTAAATACGTCGGGAACAATGCATTTCGTTAGCCAATACATGCCATTGTTGCAAGCTAACTGACCTGTATACGAGTGTCAGCATTCAACCAAACCCAATCTTGGCCGCCAGGAGCAGTCGGGGAAGATGAAGAGCCTGATAATGCAATCGGTGGCGCGGTTACCTTTTTCGATTCCTTCGCTAGCTCTTTATCCTCTCGAATCTGATACAAGGGAGCAGAATTGCGATTACACCGGTACTTTTATCAGATTAAATCCTTCGTCGAACGAGCCGTCACGAACGAAAGTTTCTTCTTGAACAAAACGGCTAAAATAATGTGTGTGTATATATATATATATATATATATATAGGTATATATATATACATACGTGCTTATGTGTACGTACATACGTTTGAAAACGGACGTGTATATGTGTAGGTTGGTTTCGATAGAAAATCGAAGTCAGAAAGAAGAAAATTGATGTCACTGTATTGGAAAACCTAGTTTGCAGTAAATAAGCATCTCCATTCGTCTCTTTCGTGATGGGATAAAATGAGAATGAGAAAAAGAAAAATAAAGGAAACGGTTCTTTTTTTCTTTTTTCTTTTTTTTTTTTTTATATCCAAAAAGTAACATACGAAAATATAAACGTTCATTTGTTGCTTATCAAAATACTGTGGTTGTTACAATCTGTACTAACGATATAAATGAATGAAGTTGATATGTGTGTAGTAAATTTATATTTAACGTGCACATACACACACACACACACAGACAGACATATATATATATACAAGCACGTCGTCGATTAAAATGAAAATTTGAAATCATATTACTGTAAGTAAATATTAATTTACTGCTAGTAAATTTTCCAATATAGAGTTTTGTGTGTATAGAAATAATGAATGCCGAATGTCAGCTTGCTCTCTCGAATCGCGAAACTCGAACGTCTCTCTACATGATTTCATCAAATTCTCGTGCTTCGTGCAAAAGCAAAAAGCCTTTTTTATTGTATGGCATTTTCTAAAAAAAAAGAAAACAAAAAAAAACAAGAAAAAAAAATTCAAATTCGTCGTTCGAGCATGAGATGACGAAAATTAGCGATGCTGCTTTGATTCGTTCGTATTTTATTTATATTTATATATGATTTTTCATTAAATATAATATTATTTATATTTTTATATAATAAAAAGCAAAGCTTTTTTTTTTTTTTTTTTTTATGAAGACAAATATTTGAAATATTCATCACGAAATTGCGATCGTCCTTTTTTTATCTTTCCAAATGCTTGTTTTTTTTTTTTTACAAACAGTGTTTTTTTCTGACATACGTCAGATTTCATTTGAAATAGTTGATTTTAAATACTTGAAGAACAAAACAAATTATTTGTTGAATTTTATCACGTAACGAGAAATTTCATTTAACTCTTTGGGGCACGGTGGGATTAAAAATGTCCCATCTATTTGATACATTCATTTGAACATTTTTAATTCCACCTTGAAATATTATTTCAATAGCTATACGTTGCTTATAAGTTCTATATTTCGTCTTATTTATTCAAAACAATTGGTTATTAACTCTTTTTTTAATATTTTTACATTATTACATTATTTAATACCTTTATTAATAAAAAAATATACCAATTGTGTTTAATTTAAAACGTAAATTTTCAAATCGTCTTATTTACGCAAAACAATTAGTTATTAACTCTTTTTTTTTATGTTTCTATACTATTACATTATTTATTACCTTTATTAATAAAAAAAAATATACCAATTGTGTTTAATTTAAAACGTAAATTTTCCAATTTCTCTATGCAACATAGAACTATTTTATTATTTCAAATTCTGTGCCGCAAAGATTTAAATTCGTGCCAATTTTGCGCGATGGCTGCTTTAATTAGGATTATCTAAGGTTCTATTTGTAATATATTATTATTCGAAAGGGAGGAGGAGGGAGGATGGAGGGTGGAGGGAGGGTAGGGTAGGGGAAGGGAGAAGGGGCTTTGGTGTTTGATTAACGTACCCTGGATATGTCTGAAACCGCATTGTCTCCCGCAGTTGGTAACGCGCTGCTTCTCCTTCGTCGAATAAACTTTTCATTTTGTTGAGATCCCTCGCACTCACCACTTCGTATTATTCGAAGCTCCCTTTCAACACTTACCACGTACGTGTAAAGGTATACGGAGGTAAATAATTGTAAGAAAAATTGTGCGAGAATGAGATAAAGTAACATACGTGGTTGTAGCATTCCGTTATCTAACTTTACCATCCTATTTTTCTCATTCATGATTTAATTATCTGTTTTTTTTTTTTTTTCTTAAACTTCTTTTTATTCCTACGAAAAATTGTGCACTTGGTTTTTTTCTTTTTCTTTTTCTTTTTTACAGAGATCAATCTTTCGTCTCGTTTCACAACGAATATTTTATTAGATGAAAAACGGAAACGTTTAAATGGATCTTATTTTTTTTTTTTTTCTCAAACGTGATCTTTCTTATCCTTTATTTTGTTCTTTCTTTCATTCATTCATTCATTCATTCATTTATTTATTTATTTATTTATTTTACCAATTCTTTGTCTATTTCAAACGCAATTTGTTTCACTTTTATTTGTCATTATCTTCTCATATTGTATTTTCAAAACGTAAAAATACGTAAATTGAATTTAATTTATTAATTACACGTTCTTTTGCATTAGATCGAGTTATAAATAACTTCCAATACGACTATGTAGAATCTATTTTTCGTATTTACCTATTATAAGTCACCGAAACAAACGAATTTTTGATATCACTGTATAAATGAGGATTCAGGTTAGTCTTCTGTCAACTTTTTCATGTAATCAATGTTACATTTAACCGTTTTTTCTTAACCATTGAAATGGATAGTAAAGATCAACACGTGTTAGAAGTGAAATCTTGAAAAAAAAAACTAAGTTTCGAGAGAATTAGACAAATACAAAATAAAAATATCTGCTGTAGGATAATTGTATTCACTTCTTATTTAGTAACTTGGCCGTTTCATCGCCTCCCACCGCTTCGTTACATAGCCGCCTACAACTCCGTTACATTTTTTCAAATCACACCCATTCTAANGAGAGAGAGAGAGAGAGAGAGAGAGAGAGAGAGAGAGAGAGAGAGAGAGAGAGGTGAAGAAACTGATAGATATACGATAAAGAGAAAATGAGACTGAGAGAGAGAGAGAGAGAGAGAGTGAGAAATAAAATAGAGAAACATGTTTATTCTATGTAACAGTTGACAGAAATATTTTCTTCAAAATTTAAATAAGAAAACATGCTAAATATTTCGTATGATTTATGAGAAAGAGAGAGAGAGAGAGAGAGAGAAAGAGATAGAGAGAAAGGGAATGAACAAGGGAAAGGGAAAGGGAAGGGGAAAGGGGGAAGATTTTTGTTTGATTCGAAAATCTGAATATAATATTATCTTCAAATTACTATAAAATATAAACTCGTTAAATAATTCTAATGATTTATGTAACAACGAATCATCTCTCTCTCTCGAGAGAGAGAAAGAGAGATATATTATTATTAATAATTTAAGAAATTTGAAATAATTTATTAATATATTATTAATATTATTTAATATTATATATATATTTATATATTATCTAATATATAAATTATTATTTTGTATATAAATATGTCAATATATATATATATATATATATATATAATATATATATAATTATATTTATAAAATAAAATATAATTAATATATTACATAATTTATATATTATTTAATATTACATATATATATATTTATATATTATCAAATATATAAATTATTATTCTGTATATATAAATATGGCGAGAGATAATATACATAAATATATTAATTTATATATTAAATATATATTTGATAAATACAACATAAATATATAAATATATATATATATATATACTAGATTTCGTTATGAAAATATTAAGTTATTTCGTCGTAACGTTAAGATCGATAAGTCACCGACAAGTTTCGATATTTTCAAGCTCCCTTTACTCTTCCCTTTTTTTTTCTTCCCCTTTGCACCTTAGGACTTTATCGAATATTTATTTTTAATGAGCTATCGTTGCCATCGTCGACGCCCCGTTGTCGCTTGTAAAACAAAAAATTTCGAAGAAAGTTTATCTTTCGTTTGGTAAGTGAAAACTTTTACGAATATTCTGCCACTACCCCCCCCCCGCCTCCCCCCATCTCAACAACCCCTTTCCACTTTTCACTCTTAGAAAAGTTTCGATCTAAGCGCAAGTGTTATAAAAAAGAAAGATAGAGAGAGAGAGAGAGATAAAGTGCTTGCAACTTCTATCATCTCGCTGGATCATTAAGGTACCTTTTTTTTTTTTTTCATTCCATGAAAATTAAGAATTTAAAAAGTTCCATAAATAATAGGATCATTAATAAAATAATTATTTAGGAATATTTTTGTTTTTTTTCATTAAGTGGATCGAAAAGTAATGGAGCTTTTTAACCTTAAAATTTTAACGAATAAGTTCTTTAAACAATTATAATATTATAATATTATTAATAAAATAATAATATAATATATTAATATTAATAATAATAATAATAATAATAATAATAATAATATATTAATAATATATATATATTACAAATATATATTATATATTAAATATATATTAAATAATAATGTATTAGGTTGTCCCAAAAGTTTCTTCCTTTGTTTGATAATAAGTTGAACAATATTGTATGCGTAATATAATATTTTTTTTAATTTGTATTTAACGATATTTTACTAAAAATAATATTCTACTTTATTTTACATTTTACTATACTTTAAATTATTCAACATAAAAAATATGGTACCTGTAGAATTACTAAAAAGGAAGAAACTTTTGGGACAACCTTAATATTTATAAATATAAATAATATCATTAATAAAATTATAATATTATTAATTAATAAAATTGTAATATTATTAATTAGTAATTAAAATATTTAATTAAATTAATTAATCACGTTATCAACAATCTTTTTTTCTATCTGTTATGCAAATTGTTACAATTGTAACAATAAAAATTATCAATCAGTTGTTTAATATAAAATATTAATATAAAAAATTTGACGTGCGTAATACAACGACATTACTTTTCGATCCTCCCTCTTACACATTTATCTTTCATTTGAATTAAATGATTATTTAAACGACATATATAGATGTTAATAATAAAAAATAAAAATACTGATGCAATTCACTGGAACAATACACGCACGAATTGCTGCATCGTATGTTTTTATTAATCCTTTTTGTGTTTTTTTCTTTCTTTCTTTCTTTCTCTTTTTATTTATTTTTTTGTTTGTTATATATTGTGTTTTTTTTTCACGTTTAATTAGATTTCCTTTCAATTTGAAATTATCCATCGATGAAACACAAATTGCATACAGAATATTACGTGCATTATTAAATCTATGGGACTCGCGTATAAATAGAAAAAAAAAAAAAAAAAGAAAATAGAAGAAAAAAAAGAAACAATAGAATTTATTCAAAATAAGGTAAAATATCAGTCGCGACATAACAGGTATACATACATACACACACACACCCCGTATAGTTTTTTGGTTGGACGAACTCGAATTAATTCTGGCTGGCCGATTTCCAACAATAAAGCAAATCCGAGTGCAAAGGGTCAGAAAAAAGGGTAGGGGGGAGAGGGTGGGAGGGAGAGGACAGAAGAGAGACACGTTTAACGCGTGGATAATCCTATGAATATTTTCCGCGGTTGATTTTTCCCCATGCCAAGGATCAAAGGCTTAACGAGTCGTCCCATTCTCTGGAATTCATTCTCTACGAAATAGAAGAATGAGAAGGGAAGAGTGAGAGAGAGAGAGAGAGAGAGAGAGAGAGAGAGAGAGAGAGAGAGAGAGGTGAAGAAACTGATAGATATACGATAAAGAGAAAATGAGACTGAGAGAGAGAGAGAGAGAGAGAGTGAGAAATAAAATAGAGAAACATGTTTATTCTATGTAACAGTTGACAGAAATATTTTCTTCAAAATTTAAATAAGAAAACATGCTAAATATTTCGTATGATTTATGAGAAAGAGAGAGAGAGAGAGAGAGAGAAAGAGATAGAGAGAAAGGGAATGAACAAGGGAAAGGGAAAGGGAAGGGGAAAGGGGGAAGATTTTTGTTTGATTCGAAAATCTGAATATAATATTATCTTCAAATTACTATAAAATATAAACTCGTTAAATAATTCTAATGATTTATGTAACAACGAATCATCTCTCTCTCTCGAGAGAGAGAAAGAGAGATATATTATTATTAATAATTTAAGAAATTTGAAATAATTTATTAATATATTATTAATATTATTTAATATTATATATATATTTATATATTATCTAATATATAAATTATTATTTTGTATATAAATATGTCAATATATATATATATATATATATATATAATATATATATAATTATATTTATAAAATAAAATATAATTAATATATTACATAATTTATATATTATTTAATATTACATATATATATATTTATATATTATCAAATATATAAATTATTATTCTGTATATATAAATATGGCGAGAGATAATATACATAAATATATTAATTTATATATTAAATATATATTTGATAAATACAACATAAATATATAAATATATATATATATATTTATATAGATAGATTGCGTCCAAAAAAAAAAAAATAAAAAATAAAAAAGCTTTATAATAAAACTCTCAATGTCCTTACTTCGAATTTTTCAAAGATAATATCATCACACCCAAGCTATTTTCTAATGATTTACGATTCTAATTCGCACCATGATTTCATCTTCCCCCTTTTTCTTATCCTCTCTCTCTCTCTTTCTCTCTCTCTCTCTCTTTCTCTCTCTTACTCTCTACATATTTCTCCCCTCCATCCCAATTCTTTTCTTTCAAGAAGATTACCGGTTAACCCCCTTGGTATTATTTTTATAACGCGATAAATCTCGTCGTATAATCGCGAATATGTAAATTAGCAGCTACGAATTTGCATAGGGATCTTCGTGCTTACCCTCAACTTTCTCCCCCCCCTCCTCCTCCTCCTCCTCCTTCACCACCTTCCTCTCTCTCTCTCTCTCTCTGCCACCCCCTTGTCTTCCCCTTTTTTTTCTTCATTTTGTTTGTTTGTTTTTTTTTTCTTTTTTCAAAGCGATCGCGTTAAAGATATTCCCAAGTAAATTTGTTGATGTAGTTGAGAAAATTTAAGGTCTTACGAGATTTATTTATATATGTTTATATATATACATACACACACATACACATACGCATGTATATATGTTATATATATATATAAAAGGGGGAATAGATCTTGGTGGATCTGAGTCGATTTTTGGTGTAGTTGAGAAAATTTGAGGTTTTACGAGATTTATTTATATATATATATATATATATATATATATATATATATAAAAAAGGGGGAATAGAGAGCTTGGTGGATCTGGGTCGATTGATTGATCGTCACGACGACGGAATTGAATTCTCCGTTGTCGTTTATATTCTTCCGTCGACTCTTGCCGTTACTTCTAGTCAACTTGTACTACCAAAGTAAAAAAGAAAAAACAAAAAATGAAAAAAAAATAATAATAAAGTCATACATACGATAAAGATGAAAAAAAAAAAAGAAAAAAAAAAAAATCTGATGGAATAAAGAAAAAATACGAGGGGAAAAGAAAAGATCACATCACAGAATTAACATAATCATCATCACTACCACTACAACCATCACTACCATCACCATCACCACAGGGGGTTAGGAGGGAGGGTTAATTTCTTTTAATCGTTTCCATTTCTTTTAATCGTTTCCGTTTCTTAACCAATTTTCAATAGTATTATACAATTCGTGTTTACCTTAGCGTAGTATTGTAACTCGCGCGGGAAATGAAGGAAAATTCAAAAAACAAAAAAGAAGAAAAAAAAGAAAAACAATTGTTTCTTTGATAACAACAAAAAAACCAACCAATCTCTCGTTCGAGAATGATTTTTATATCGATTGTCGATCTTTCCAATTCCACATTTTTCAACGATCTATTATAAGATTATATCTATATATATATATATATATCACTTCACTGTTATATTTATATCATTGTGCGCGTAAGTAAAATACCCCGTTGTGAACACTTTTCGTCAAAATCAAATCAAAAAATCAAAAGTAAGAATATTATCAATGAACCAAACAATATATATTTTTGACGTACAAGTTATCGAATGATGTTTCAAATGAAATGATGAATCATTTCAACAACAACAATAACAACAACAAAAATATATCCAATTGTTTTTATCTGAAATTTTTCTTTTTATTTTATAGGATGACAAAAATACAAAAATGGAAGTTAATTCAAAAGAAGAAGAAGAAGAAGAAGATGGAAAAAGAATACGCGAGATAAATCCAATAAATGAATGAAAGTTAATAATAAAAATAATAATAATAATAATAATAATAATAATAATAATAATAATGATGATGATGATGATGATGATGATGATGAAGAAGAAGAAGAAGAAGAGAATGATATTTATTCGTAAACGATGAACGCACGAGCAAAACGCGACTGTCCAAGATAATCGTTCTAACGTAAACTGACGTCCGAGCGGGTGGCTTCATTCAGTACCGCGCATGCGTGTCACTATTCTTGCATTGTATACATCCGTTTACACGGGCGTGCATGCACGGCTTGGAAATAGAAGAAGAGAGAAAAAAGAGAAAGAGAGTAAGAGAGAGAGAGAGAGAGAGAGAGAGAGAAAGAGATTGGGTAACTTTCTTTAACCACCCACCCCCTCTCTTTTCCCCCGTGTGTGAACGACGCTTGCAAGCCTTGTTTCGTAGGAGCTTTAAAGTGCACTTCGGGTGAAAGAGTGATGGTGGGGGGGGGATTAGTATGAGGGAAGGAAGGGTTTTATGACAGTAGCAAGAGTGCAGTAGCTCTAGCAGCAGCAGCAGTAGCAGCAGCAATAGCACGCGCGTTAAGTGCGTATTTCTATCTTGAAGATAAAACCATTATTTTAAATCGCTTCTATGTACTCCTCGAGTCAAATTATCTACCAAGCAATTTTATCCTATATATATATATATATATATATATATATATATAACTAGGCACTAGTTAAATTTAACCAACAACAACAAGAAGTCCTATTTACTTCTTCATACTGTAGTAATGCAAAATATTGAATACATGTTTATTTAATATTAAAAAGAGATTCTCAATGTCTTTTATAATAGTATATTTATTAATTAATTGATAATAAATTTATTATATTTATTTATTATATTTATAAATATAATTTATTAATAATATTTTATTATTATTCAATATTATTCATTGTTTTGTGCTACTAGGGAATATTAGAAATAATTTGACACGCGAAGATAACGACATTACTTTTCAATTCCCTTAATACATAGTTTTATTTGTATTATGTACAAATTGTTTGATTTTTTTTTGTCTTTTGTCTTTTGTTTTTTATTTAATTTATATTTATTAATCGTCAATTACAATATTAAAATTAATTATTTCTTAAATGTAAGAATTTATTTACAAATTTTGATTAATAATTGTCGACAATCTTCTTGATATTAATAATTAATATTACAAAGAGATATTCAATGTTTTGTTAATATTAAATAGAAATGTTTTGTCCTTACTCTAGGGTAATTTTGTGTTTCACATTTTTTTTTGTTTTAAATTTATTTTTTATTACTTTTTTTCTTTCCTCCCTAATATATATCAAAAATCAGATTAGATTCCTTTGAACATCGTTCTACTCGTTGTTGTTGTAGCTGTTGTCATCGTCCTTGTTATTTTTTCTATATTTTTTTTTTTTTTTTTTTTATAGGAGTTTGTCATAAAACTCTTTGGCATGATTCTCGAACAATGTGTATATATGTATTTTAGTATATAAGTATGATGTATAATATGGGATGTGTATATGAGTGTGTGTCTACTTATATGTTGTATATAAAGTACAACGTGTAATGATTCTCTCGCGTTTGGTATACAATCTAACCGAGATTGCAATTTCTTCCATATTTTTTTTTCTTTCAATTTATAAAATCGTCTTTATTATAATTATAAATATTTTATCTTTTAAAGTTTATTTTTTTTGGTTTTCTTTTAGAAAAAAAATCCTATTCGTTATCTTCAGTTGTTGTGTATGATGAAAAATAGATATTATAGAAAATAAATTAGATAATAGGAATAAAATATAAAAAAAAAAGAGAATAACCAAATAGAAAAGAAAAAAAAAAACCAAATGGAGGAAAGAAATAAAAAATGGAGATTAGAGATGATGAAGAAATGTCAAAAATGTAAATGAAATACGTAAAGATTTGAATCGTAATCTTTCTTGGTCTCGCAAGTAGAACGATTTTAATATCACAAATGTTGAAAGCAAATTTCAAAAGCTATGGGCTGAGGGTGGTGATGGGGGGGGGGTA